GTTTGAAGCCTCTGTAGGGGTGTGTGCCAGGAGGGTTGAAACCCGCTTTAAGCTGAGTCTGGGCCTGCGGCTTCCCGGAGTCAAGCTGCAGCAGAGCGAATACGAGATTTCTTCCGGTGTTAAGCCATTCTGCTCTTGTTTGGGTTCGAGACCGGTTTTAAGCTGACCGGTCGTACTGTCCCATCGCTGCGGAAGGCTTAAAACCGGCGCCAACCCACAGAAGAATACATGAGCTTAAATCCGGAAGCAAGCCTGGGGTGGGGTAGTCCAAACCAACCTCAGGTTTGGCTTAAAATCTGCTTTAACCCAAACCTGATTCCTGATTACAGCTGATGTCTACTTCTCCTTCCAGTCCTGCTACAATACTCATGCTACTCTGACTTCTGCTCTTTCTCCGACCCACTGCATCCTTCTCCTCGCAGGAGAACTCAGACTAGACTGCGAGTGCTTCTATTACGACAACTGCCACACCTACCAAGGCTACTTGCTACTGCCACTACTACTGCTACTGCCACTGCTGCCGATGCAGCTACTGCTACTGCCAGAAATCACTATCACTATCACAACTGCGACTGCGATCACCACAGTCACGACTCATACGACCGAGTACTAACAAACCCAGTGGCACCTCCGCTGCGAACTAATGCCAGAAGCAGGGAAAGCAGGTTCAAGATCACGAGCCTGGGTTGGAAAAAGATGTAGAAGACTGCTTGGGTCATTCAAAGGACGCTGACAGAGCACAAGCCGGGATCGGAGGCTTCGAGCAGGTCGAGAAGGTGGCCAGGGCGCAACGTCCAACATTTTCGGACTTGGAATGTACTTGGAGCTAAGAGGTCCTTGGGTCGGGGTTGCATTCCTCCTACATCCTCTTAGGGAGTTGACTGTTCGCAGCCAAACCCCGAACCCAACACCACCGCCTCAGAACTGAAGGAAAAGTCAGATACTGGAAATTGTGGTACTGCTGTCAAACCCCACGAATTCACCGATAGTAAGGTTTCAGTCGAAGCCCGGAAAACTAAACCCCCCAAGCCCGAAGCTGTAGCCCTGACAGCCCAAACTTCGAAGCCCCTGGCACATGGGGAAATTGCAGATTTCCCCCTTTGCTGGCTCCGAAGCACCCTATAAACCCGAAAACACAGTCCAGGCTGGAGCACGTGTAGACCATGATCACAGCCCAGCACTGTTCCTTGAAGCTGGATTCGGGATGAATCTGACGAGGGTGGGACTTTAAGGCTTAGGTTTTTGGGTTTGAAGTTGGGGTCCGGGTCTCAGGGCGAAGGGGGTTGAGTTGAAGCAAAGATGAATCAGACCCGATGCCTCGGCAGAGGTAATATTTCAATGGTGGCGCACCTGGCTTGTTCCAACAGACTCAGCCCGCACATGTATTGAGGTGCCTCTTCTAGCATTTCCTTGACTGTTGGGGGTAGTTTGTCTGCCAGTATCTGAGGACCTCGTGATCAGGGACCAGGGACCAAATTTTGCCAAAGCCTCCGCAGAGCCATGAGGTGATCTTAAATACGTTCCAAGAGGTTCCAAGTAGGTTCCAAGTAGAGAGCAACAATTTGTGAAGTGCCAGCATGTACATCGACCAGAAAGGGAGATGAACCGGCAAACGCAGCAGTTGTGAAACCCAACATGTTACCCAGCTTCGATGAAAGCCCTGGAGTACCCCGGATCTACAAGAGAGCAAAGTCTCCACCTTTGCCACTCCACGCAGCCTCGGCGTCAGAAATTGCTTGCCAAGTATTGGACGGCTTTCGGAAGTGGAGGCCCAGGTTGGGAGTTTGGAGCCAAGCTTTTCTCCTTGAAAAGGCAAGGACGAGCCCTCCCCAAGGGAGCGCCCAGTTCCCTGGCAAGTTGGGTCTCGGCTCCCAAAGGCCAGAAACGAACTCAACCTGAGGCCGGAGCACCGAACTTGAACAAAAGGACTGCTCTGCTCTCTGAAAGGAATCCTGAACCCTGCCAGAAAGAAGGAACAAACAGAAGGGACCCTCATTCCTGCTACCTGTATCATCCCTATACGGTATATTTCTGAACCACCTGGGCAGCCGAGCAACTGCAACTCTAGCTCACTGGCCGCCCTCACAGCCCAAACGTCAGCCAAGTCGGAGGTGTCGTTGCCTTGTTGAATGCAATTATCACGAATTGTCGGCTGCGGGCTACAGGGCCTGGGGCTCAGGGTCAAGAGGACAACAATAGTCAGTGGGGACACCAGCAAGAGGGCACCCTTGCAAAGACCTGACTTGGGTTTCACTCTCTCAAACCTTTTCTGCAAGATATCAGGTCCCAGGCGCTTGCCAAGATAACGAAGTTGCTGAGGCACATGGACCTAAGCATGCGAACTGCACGTAGCGTGGAATTCCATTTTCTGCCACACGAAACTTCGGGACAAGCAAAACCCCAATTCCGAGCTTAACCGGTACTTCGAACCGTTTCAAGGGTTTCCATGCCCTTGGCTCGGGAAGAGCTCCGTGAAACTGAACTTTGGATTCTGCTGCGTTCCCCACCTTTTGGGGGATCCGGAATTGAAGTTCGTCCCTCATCCCCAGACATCAGGCTACACGGCTTCGGGTTGGCGCAGGGGTTTGGACCGGCAAGCAGCCTTGAGCCGAACCCAATGCCAGTGAGTGGAAGAAAAAAGAGCTGCTAGACGAAACCCTCGGTTTTTGTGGTTGGCGAGGGGCAGCTTGTCTTCAGTGTGGCCGCCGGAACACTCGCGAGGGTTGAGTGGGTCCATGACCACGCCTGACTCCAGAATGGAGAATGATTCTTAATCATGTTACGTGCGCCCTTTTTCCTTCGGTGATTGTTATTGTAGGCTGGCAGTTGCAGAAATTGTGCTTGGGAAGGGACAGAGCTGAAGTGTCCCAGGTTGGACGATGCATACATAGTCAGCACTCCCTCAACCCGATACCCTCAATCGTCGTCCCTGAACCTGTATCCTGCCATCCATGGGCATACTCAAACCAAAAACCTTCAAAGTCTCGGGAGAAGCAGCCACAGCATGCAGCAGAGAATCAGAGTTTTGCTATCTGCGGGCCCCTTCGCAGGTAAGTCAGGAAGAGCTCGCAGATCTCAGGCTGCGAGAGCATGTCGACCTGACTTATTTGATGCGTGCTTAAGACCAAGAGAACTCCGAAACCCCAAATTCTGTGGGTTGCCGTTGAGAGACTTGACCGAAACTTGCCATAACCCCATAACATGGAGGATAGAGCGCATAAAGCGTGTCTTCCGCTTTCTATGGTAACAGTTGCTTGCAGAACCTGACAACAGCAACCAAGTCTCTAGCCCTGATGTCCCTGGATCTTCTGAGTCCGGTCTTCAACTGAAAATACGGTTCTCATGCATTTCACCATAGAAGCTTATGCAGGTGCAACTGATAAGATGGCCTTTTCTGGCAGCGAAGCCCAGGGAGACACTTTGGCATCAGCTGTGTGCCTTACCTCTAGCACCTTACCTGCAGGCCAGTCCATGGCCCGGGTCATGGACCTCTATTTATACAGGAATGCCAGGAATGCAAAAAGAATCCCCTGAGAAACCCTAAGCCCCCAAGGACGAACTCTGAGCTGCAAGCCCTACGCAAACAAAGCTCAAAGGTTCATTACAATGTGCATGTTTGGCCCAAGAAAAGTTCTTTAAGCCCTGCCATACATTCACCCCCCCCCCCCCGCCTTCAGCATAGGAAAGCCCCCTTCTTTTCACAAGACCCTGCAGTCACTTGAACCCCATCCCCCCCCATAAAAACCTTCTACATGCTGAACTCTGCAACACTTCGTCGGTCCAAAGTGCTACTTCCAGTTGTGTCTTCATGTCTCCCACGAGCTTGGTCCGATGGTTGATGCCTTCAGAGCAGAACGGAACGGTTAGTGGAAGTTTTGCGGCGTGGCCAACACTTTGGGGCACCTTGTGATGTCTGATGGTTTTTTCAGGCGGGAACGGACATTCGTCGCGGAAAGTGCAAAGTGTTTCGCGTCTACTTTCGGGGACTATGTTCGTATCATGTCAACATGATACATATGCCATGATTTGTATCGTGCTAAAGTGAGCGCATTAGAAGGTTCTGGAAACCTGCCCAACGGAGGGTTTTGCGTGGCATGGCGGGAATGGGCAGCTTCAGCAGCACGACAGTCAAGAGAAACAACAAGCTAACAATAGAACTTCCGCGAAAAGTATAAAGTCTTTGACGGTACCTTTCGCCAGTCTTTGGCTATAAACGGTGGCTATAAATGTCTGGTGTATTCAAAAACGACAAGACGGGAGCTTTACATGTGTGACTCGAGACCCCGAAGGTCCTCAAACATCTAAACAACAAAATGAGGCTTTGAGCCGCGCAGCCGTGAAAGCCATCGAACGTCAGGGACTTAAACCTGGGCAGCAAAGGCTCGGTTAAACGCACAAGACACGGGGCATGCACAGCACCCCAGGTCCTAGAACCAGTAGAATCAGTTTAGGCGGGAGAGTGCGGTTTCAACCCCTTACACCCCTGACAGAAAAGTTTTTAACGGCCCGCGGCGTCACAGGGTTTCCTACACAGCGGGGTTTCCTAAAGTCAAGGACTAGTTTCAGTCTCTGGGCGGTCAAAAGCAGCACATGGCTGCACCATACTGAGCCTGGCAAACAGGATAATTAGTGCGGATAGCCCCCTAAAGAGGCACCACGAATTGTCTGCTATTCGGGGTGGGACCAAAATTTTCAAAATTCTCCATCCTAATGATTAAACTGCCCAAACCATTGAACAGGAAGCTTCTAAAGGAAAGGAAAGGTCGAAACCTGAACACATGGAAAAAATTAGAAAATCAGTCCACATTCTGGGCCATGGTCCATGCCCTTTGGGGGAGGAATGTGTCTCCTTTGGTGACATGAGGCAGCGTCCGACGCTTCTCGACCTGTTGGCTGAGGTAGTCCTTCCCCTCGGGATAGCTCCACAAAGCGCACAGGATAAGAAAATGCAAGGCCCCGAAAAGAAGTGCTGATGATCTTGCAACATACTCCAGGATTCATTAAATGTCGGTAAACATGTTGTGGGACATCGTAAGCACGCACCGTGCAATTCCACTACTGCATGTGGGCTGGTCTAGATTAGATATGAATCCCGGTTTGCACATTTCATTCGACTGGCCGATGTACATTAAGTGTGGATCCCCGCACCATACACCTAAGCTCTTCAAGTAAGTCTCCCAAGTAGTGTAGAAGCACGAACTCTTGTGCATCACCTCACTTCCTAGGCGTTGCTTTGAACTGCGTTCGGTCGGGTCCTGCTTCGGGTCCTGCTTCGTCTCCTCGCGCAGCCTTACGCTTCAGCAGCTCGGGGCTGAAAGTGCTAAAAGTTGTGCAATTCGACGTTTTCTGTTGGAACGCGTGTTCCTGTCGAAAGGTCAAACACTGACATCACTGAGACGCATTGGACTCGTCGGAGGTTCAGGCTCCGGGTTTTGAGCTCCCGTCATGCTCCTTAGACTATGAGAGCCGCTGGAGCTCTGAAGTCTGATGTGTTACGGGTCCAGGATGGTTGTGGGAAGTACAGGACACCTAAGCCCTCGACCCTAGCATCACCCCTCTACAAGGCAAGGCACGAGCTTCGCTGAGATCTCTCGAGCGAATACTGATACCTGTCAAAGGACATCATTCTCTTGGGATTTGAGCACTGGGCTCGAACTTCCTGGGATGGGAATTAGGGAAAGCCCACCCTGTCCAACTCCATAACCCAAGCCTTCAGATAAGGTTGGAGCGTCTGGAAATAACCCTAGACACATCGGGCATTTGCAAGGCTGCTTGTGGGCAAGATTATGCTGAAGACCGGTTGCCGATGACTTGGCCACACGGTAGAAGCCCGGATCTGCCACGACATACTGCACCACAAGAGTTCCCATTCTGGGTATGTGTATTGGATGAGCTGCGGCCGCGCAGCACGTGCTTGCTGTCGACTGTGGCACCAATGCACCAATCTGACGGCCCTTTTGTGGCCCAAACGTCCCTGAACCCCTGCTGCCGTGGCTTTTGCTTCCTTGGACGTATCTGGCATGATCCAACTACTACCCAGCAAGTCTCACATGAGTGCGGAATGAGTTCAACGTCGGTCGTGATCCTATCATCGGAACCTCCGAATCTCAACTGTGAAGCCGACACCACTCAACGCCGTCTACACCCTAACATTCAGGGCAGTCTGCAACCCTGGTACCAAACCATAAGCCTGAAACCTTTACCCGACACCGCCGAGACCGCAACCGTCCAGCCTCGAAAAGCCTGAAGCAAGAGTCGTAAATCTACATCTTGCCGAAAACGCCAGAAATCAAGACCTGCACGTCGCAGACTACACCTAGCAACAGCCCACGGAGCCTGAGTGCTTCTGAATCACCAGGCTTGCACGTGGTCTCACAGTGAGTCTGGGCTCCGACCTGCTGGTTTAGGGGTTAGGGTTTAGGGTTCAGGGCTTAGGGTTATAGTTTAGAGTTTATAGAGGGTTTAGGGTTTAGGGTAGATTGCAAGCCGCCACCAAAATGTCTCAAAGGCAATGCCACTGCGGCCAAGCAGCCTCTCCATCTGCGCTCGTCCTTGCGCAAGGCATATGTAACTTATCTGTCTCTTGTTAAAACCATCAAGCAATGACTGTCAAAAAGTTGCAACAAAAAAACGCCGTCCGACCCTGGTGATGGTGCAAATCGGGACTGATCACTATTCTAAGCTCGCTGTCGCAAGCATCTGGGTCCATGCCTGCCGTGGCAGGTTTGCCCCGCCGTTCTTATGTAGATCGCTTTACATAGTGATACGTTAATATTGCCCTTGCGGGCTCTTGCACCTTGTGCGCGCAACACGTTTTGATGGTGTTTTTCAATAGTGGTGTTTTAAAGAAAACGCCTCCGTAGTACTAAGTCAAGAGCTGGGGGTTAAGACACAGCCCTGCCTCACTCCTCTGTCGGTTGTAATCACCACCTCACCACCACCATGCGTGACGTGAAAACAAGAAGAGGCATGCCAAGATACAATCACATGGATAATATCATCAGAAAAAACCTTCAGCACGTAACGACACCACAATTGAGATAATCCAGGCTGAGCAGGCAGCCCCCAACTAGTTCCTGGGACTGTACTCCCAGCTTTTCGCGTTGTATGGTGCGAGTCTGCGTGCTAAGCAAAGCACGAACCTCACGGCAATGTGACAAGGCACGAAGAAGAGCATGATGACCCTCACGCTGGGGAAGATATGCCATTTGCGCACATTAGCTGCGTATGCCAAAACCGCAGGTCTGCAAGGGCCTTTTCTTTCTTTCGGACCGCACTGTGAGTCACAGTTAGCGGTAGTCTGAGCAGGTCGTATTGACCCAGCAGTTCGAGACTGCAAGGGCCTTCAACGCTGGCCAACCGACGGCAGCCGCAAGGGGTTATGTTTCACACGCTAGTTCAGGAACGGGGCGGAGTGGGCTGGTACTGCACAGGAAGCATTTCCTCCCCTGAACTTTCCAAATTGCAGTCCAAGTGTCAGTCGAAAAAGTTTTTGACAAAGGTAATTGTGACCTCATTCTGCAGGTTAAGGGCCTGGGGGATAAGCCGTCTGGGATGGTCTGAGAGACGTGAGCAGTCTACAAAATGGAAGCAGACAAATTCCCACTTGCAAAGGTGAAAGACATGCACTGTGCACATGCCCTGATGAACCTGACGACGGGAAACTTACATCACATTCTGGGATTCGGAGCTGGTGAAGACTAAGGTCTTGCATAGGGACGGCTGCACAGACCCGCTCATTGTTTGCCAAGGTGCATCTCACCTGGGCAGCACTGAGCCGAACCGTCCGAACCCTCAACACCATCACTGTACCCTAACCCAAGCTCGGAGCAGAACCGAGCAGAAGATGCCGACATGAGGACTCTGTTCAATGTTTGCAACCGCCGACACTCGTTCCAGAATTCCCACCTGTCCGTCTCCAAATGCCTCCAGCATTTTCCGTGCGTATATACCCTTCGAGATTCCTTCCCTTCCCAAAGAGAGCTCTCCGTCTTGACTTTAACCCGATGGGGCAACAAAAAAGCTGCTCAACCTAGTCTTCAGAATTTGCACACAAAGGCTGTTTGGAGGTCTTGACAAACTGGACCCGAAGATGCACACCGACTGGCTTGCAAACCTTCACAAGCCTGAATGCAGTCTCAGATCAGCCCTGACAAGGACGTGTTTTAGGGGCCTTAAGAACTAAAAAAGAAGTTTTTCTTTTTTTGGGGGGGTTATTCCAGTTTCATTATAAAGGGACCCTAAGTGAATACTATTCGCAATTCTTCCGACCCCTGTACCTAAACCAAGCCTCCGGCACGCAAACATCTATCAGTGACCCTTTCCATGACCAGCGGCAAAATCTTGTGTCAGTCGACCGGTGTTGTTGAGGCAAACAACCTGGCGTCGCAAGATGAATGCTGGGAGAAGAAGGCGGCCAAAATATATCGTTTTACTATTCTCCAGTACGAACCTGCCAGCGTGAGGTTCAAAAGATTGTTTGAATGAAAAAAGATGGAACAACACTGCGCGACGCTCTGTTCGTGTGCAGGAACTTTCCGTCCACGTTCAGTCTTGTGGTTCTTGTGACCCTCGCGAACACCTCGATTGGTTGATCGGCAAAGATCGTACGGTGGCCAGGGCCCCTCGTGAACCTGCATGCGCGTGGGCACATAGGCACTTGGTGATAAGAGACTCACAAGTCCAATGCCATCAAATGTCTCATACTGACTACATGCGAAACTGTACTCCAGTGGTCAAGATTGCAGGTGCGTGAGATTTTGCGATATTTCCCCTAAACTTGGTGTCGCCAATCAGCGTGTTGTGGATTGATACTGGGCACCTGTCTGCAACGGTGCTTTCGAGAGTCGCATCTGCATCATGTCGATCCTATGTTTTTGCAAACCTATTCACACCTTCACGCACGCACTGCACACGTGAGACTCCTCCCCTCTCATCTGGGCGTTTGCATCGTAGCTCTGGCTGTTTGACTCGGGGCCCGGTATGTCATGCCCACTACTGGCCTACGGATACTGACGGAGAAAGTTGCCCGACAATCGGAGCAAAGCATTTCAGTGAAGCGGCTGGATGACCATTGATGAGCATGTTCAACAGGTCCTGACCAAACAGGCTTGGGGTTTGGGAACCTCTGAGGAGAACGGCGAAAGGACGCAGAGATCAATCTTAGGCAGGACCCCAGCCTGGGCCTTTGGAGCTTCAGGGCTCGTGAGTGTCACCGACCTCTCTTCCTCCCTTGCAGTGCATATGAACTATCTGCACGCAACCTGTCACAGCTGCACATTAAAAACTGGATAAGAGCACGCACGCACGCTCGCGCATCCGCACACACACAAGCATAATCAATCAATCAATCAATCAATCAATCAATCAATCAGTCAGTCAGTCAGTCAGTCAGGCAACCAATCAGAGTCACAAGGGCCAGCAGCGTAAACTCTACAGACATTGACGCCAAAAAAGAAACAGCCCCGGCGCGTCCTTCTTGCAGGCATCGCCGCCCCCTAGGAAGATGCAGCCACTGGGCGCCAAACCTGTGATTGTGGGCGCGGAGCGGGGTTCTGTTGTCGGATTACTCGGTGTAGACATGAAGGTACATACAGCATAAATGCGATTGCTGATAAATGTTAACTCACGCACGCATGTGAAAACTCCACGCGTATTCAACCGGGTTTGCATGATCTTGCTCCTGCCTTCTACAGCCGCTTTAGCATCATGATCTGTGGCGTGCTTCAAGTATCATTGGGAATCGCAACGCCATGTAGCAACCAGCTCTGTCGATCTCACCCCGTTGCACACAAGGGATAACAACCAGCTCTCAGGATACAAACTTCCATCTCCATACTAAACCACATAAATACAAGTAAGGCCCACACAATGCATCACCAAGTCCTTGTAGTTGTCCTCGGTGAAAATGTAGTGCGTTCCTCTCTGGCAGGACAGAATCCCACATCATCACTCCCCAGGTCGCAACACCAAAGCGCACCGCAACCACTGTAAACCCCATCTCCCCCCCGCCCTACATGTTCGCGCTGTAGGATCATGGGAATCATGGGAGTACTTGATGTCAGCGCAAGCTCCGCTGGGAGCTTTGCAGTTTTCGGGCCAGAAACCCTTTGCACGGCTGTTCCAGCACGCGGCTGCAGACGATGATTGTGGATATTCATGAAGGGCTGGGTGGTGAGCAGCCTGAAGGTGTACTATGACAGCATTCGACACTGCATTTAGGCACTGGAGCCTCCGCGGAAGTGCCAGCTGTTCCAGCGGACTTTGTGAGCTTCCTTGTCCTTGTGCGACTTGCACGCCCAACCATCCTCTTCCAACTTCCTGGGCGTGGGGGCTGACGGCCAAATCCCAAGGAACCATAGAGGTAGGGCGGTCGAATCATCGAGGACAGCTTTCCGCCTGGCAACTCCCTTGCACAAGAAGGATTTACATGCATCCACGAAAACACGTGCTGGTTTCATATGATCGAAATTTCGCTGTGGCGCGCATTCCAGAATTTCATCTTTGACCTCAAATGCAGCAGTACTGTGGTGGCTTGCTGGGCAGAAGTTGACTGCCATTACAGATCCCAGCAGATTGAGGGGCTTCGAGAGTTCGAGAGCGAGCCTTCAGGTGCACACAGCTGTGAGGAAGCATGGTGACAAACAGAGCAAACTTTGGCTTGGAGGTGTTGTCTTCTTTTGACTCCCTACCCCAGTAAGTTCTTCGTTTCCTCTGGCAAACGGCAAAGCGCGCCGCAAAGCTCAGCAACCAATCCACAACGCATACGCTTGGCCGAAAGCAAGCCTCCTCTGAGGTTCGCGCAGCTTCAGGGGCTTCACAATAGGCTGGTTGATCGGCCGTGCGTTTTGCAGGACCTGCGCAGTCATGATGGCGCTCTGCACGTTGATTTCCTGGAGCACGGCAGTTCATGTCTGAGAATTCGGAATTTGTCGCAGGATCTAAGGTCCACGAAAACACGACAACTCCGAGTGTTGGGTTGTAAGGTTGGGAATCTGGCTCGCAAGGGCCTGCGTTGTGCTGGTTGAAGTTGCGCATTCGTCTCGCGTCTCTTGGTGGTTGCTTGCAGTTTCAGGGCACGCCATGTGCTTGACGTGCACCAGTTCGATTTGCTTTTGCTTTCACGTCCCTTGCTGAACCCAACTCAACACGTGGATACATGCCCCTGCAACCTTCAAAGCTGCCAAGAGGCACGTTAAACATGCGGCTAGCAGTCGGGTTTCAGGGATGCAGGCTTATAGGGAGTTGAGAGGACGTTGAGACCATGACCCTTTGAAAGCCAAACAATCTCATCAAGATCCTGCATCATGTTCATGGCGCTGCACACAAGTCAGTGCAAACATATCCACAATACCTGCTCCCAAAATTCGCCTCGGCTTCTAGCAGAGTGGCGTCTAGAACAAACAGACCAGGATTCTCCTTCCCCCCTTCCCACCCCCACACTGATTTTTACTGACGCGCCTCCCGTAGGGGATCCCGCCTAGAAAACTCGATTTTTGGGCGTTTTCCTGGAACCCCCCCTAACACCCGTAAGATGGACTCTTAAAGGCTATGCTGCACGTGCGTGCCTTGTAAACAAATACTTTACAAAGGAAACACCCGCAGAATAGATGCAGCGCACCCGCAGAATCGACGCAATGCACCCTTAGCATCAGCACACTGTGTCCTGGGCAGGGGCGCGGAGGGCGCGGAGGGCGCGGAGGGCGCGGAGGGCGCGGAGGGCGCGGAGGGCGCGGAGCGCGCGGAGGGCGCGGAGGACGCGGAGCGCGCGGAGGGCGCGGAGGGCGCGGAGGGCGCGGAGGGCGCGGAGGGCGCGGAGCGCGCGGAGGGGCGTCCGCGTGTCCCCGCTCCCCTGCCCCTCGGCCGGATGTCACGCTCCCCATCCGCGCTCCCCCGTCAACCTCCATGCATGGTCCACGCCTCCCCTCGCCACGCCCCTCTCCCAGCAAAATGTTCCGAACCCCCCTCCCTTCAAAATTCATTCCGTCCAACCCTCCTCCGTTGACCGTCTCCTCTTCGTGGCCTCTTTCGCCAAAAAGCGATCCGATAGAATGCCTGACGTGTTGAAGCGCTAAACGAGAACCCAATTTCAGAATTGGTTTTCGGGAAGAATCCAAGAAAACAACGAGCACGCGCAGAATAGACATTAAGCGTCCAAGGCACCCCTAAAAACCCCCCTAGAACCCTTCCAGAAACCTTTCTGACACCCCTGCCCTGGGACTCTTTTCTGGGACCCCCCTTGGTTGCACCCTCCCTAACACATTGCGCAGATTTGCGAAAGGGCCTTGGGACGTGGGCTGGCCCGGCTGCCGCGCGCAAGCGTTTACAATTACCCTATATGTTCCTTATACTCCAAGAGGAAACCAAAACAATTTCCCAAAGGACCTTTAGAGCAACCCCCATATGAAGTAGGGTATGTATTTCTTGTACCCCCAAAAAGACACCAAATATATACACTCACCAATATTTCTTAAAAAGGAACCTTATATACACTCACCAAAAACAATAATCTAAACCCTGCTTCCACGACTGTCCATTGAAATGCTGCGAATTGCGAAGGGCTTTGGCGGCTTTTGGGTCCTCAACCTTCTGCTGATCCCTGATCTCCCACTCCACCTCCAATGCAAGGAATGCACCAATTCACTCACTTCGCTTTACTAGAAGGGATGCTTCATCGAGCTTTACCGATTTCGCGTGACTCGACCCTAGTTCACAAAAAAATGAGCTATGCGCACGCTTGCTATACATAGTTTAACGGGCCAAAAGACCCATCACAAAACAACACGCGCAAGTGGCTCTGTACAGACAGCCATCGCAGTTTTGCGGATCACCCCTTGTGGCTGCGGTGTCGGAAGCAAAGTGCTAGTAAGCTCTTAAGTACGTAAGCAACAGACAACCATAGTAGTGGCAACCACAAGTTAAGATAAGTGACAACTTCAAGAAGTAGTTAGCAAGAGGCTCAACGGCAACCATGGCAACACACGGAGCGAGAAATCAAGCCCTAAAGCAGAAACCCGATATATAACCTTAAACCCTAACCCTCTAAACCCTACCCAAAAGAGAACACAAGTTAGGAAACCAAGTGCTGCGCACGGTCATTCTGTTCCTGGGGGCGGGGGAATATGAAGGGGTGTCGACCTGTTGTATAGTTGTATACCGGAGACGGGTGCCCACCTTCTGGCGGGGCTTAGGTTTCTGGTAAAGAGTCGTTCTAGATTGACCTTGACACTTCTGAAAAAAGGTTCCTAAGAAAAGTAGATCCTCTGAAAACCCAAGAAGGGTAAACATTCATACATGTAGGGTCAGGGATCCAATGAAGTCCTGCGCCCCAAAGCCCAGAGCCTGAAACTTCTGCGCCCCTGGGAGCGTTTGCTCCGACAAGCTTTTTGTTTTGTCCGACGAGCGCCTATCCAGTCAGCCCTGGTAGCGCCCATGGAATGACAGTGCTTGCGCGGCCGTGAGATTCGCGGTCAACTTCTTCGTGACAGAGCTTTGCAGCAACCGCGGCGGTATTATCCCCAGCGGGAAACTTCTTTGCGACGGAGCTTTGCAATAACCGCGGTGGGTTCCCTACGGTTTCGCGGTCAACATTTCTGTGGCGTGTCTTTGCAACAACCGCAGTGGCATCCCCACGCTTCGCAGTCAGCTTCTTCGTGCCTGCCGCTTCTTGTGCCATGCGTTTGTCTTACTGGGTCCTCCTGATGGCTCAAGAAGGCTCGAGCCCTGCGTGGTGGGCAGGGTGTCGCATTTTCTTGGTTCTTTGGGGAAGGGAGGGGAAGGGTTTTCATGACGTTGCTGTGGTTGCTGCCTGTTGTGTTTGTTGCTTCGATTGTTGTTCCTGCTGGCTGGCACCGAAAGGTGTGCTTTGGCCACTTCTCCACTCCACTCCACCCTACTCCACTTCACTTCACTCCACTCCAGAGCCTAGGTTCGCTGGTTTGTGTAGGGTCGCGTGCGCCTGAACAGCTATGCGCATCTTCTGCCACCCCCTGGACTTGCTGCTACAGCTGGGTGCTGTTGTGCGAAGTCGTGTCCTTCAAGAAAGTCAATGCATGCAGCCCCAACTTGCCACAGTCCTGCCCCACGCTGTAAGAAGGGTGCGGGTCAAGGTGTGATGCGTGCAATAGTTGAGGGATGCTGTAAAGTTGAGGCATGCAACCCTGAACACTAGACCTGGTATCCGAGACTCTGTCAAGTTGTGCCCAAAGCCTAGAGTAGCTTAGGCATCCACTTTGTGAGCATTCAAGGCTTCTACAGGCTGTCAACACAAGAGGCGCCTGGTCGTCATGCTTGTTGTCATGCTTGTCCTTTTGCTTGTCCTTACGCTTGTCCTTGTGCTCATTCGAGTTCTCACTCCTAGAAGAAAAACAAGGAGGACATGGAAGTTCGGAAGTTCGAAGTCAGCCTAAGGTGTTGAGGGCAGCTAAGGGAGTGAACATTGCAGACATTGCAAGGGGCTTGGCTCCGCGGGTAGCGTGAGAAGCGGTCTGTATTCGCCTGGGACAAATTACAAATTTCGGAAAGAGCTGTTAGATGCTGTTACGGATTTCCTGCAGATCCAGGGCTCCTTGGCAGACCACCAAGAAACCACGCTTAGCTGCAGGTCGAACCGGGCCAACGCGCAGTGTTGACAATTACGGAATGGCTTTCCCGAAGCCCTTAAGAGCCTGCAAGGTGAGCTGCACCCCGAAGGAGAACGAAGTTCAAACCAGAGCGAAAAGATACCTGAAAGGGTTAGCCAATCCCGAGCAAGCCTTTTGAAACAGCCTGATGCCCCGTGTCACCGATGGAATTAGAAGTCATATGTTTTGATGCTTTCGACATATACTGGCAAAACACAACTGAACGATCTAGTCCTGGCTTCAAGCAAATCTGACCCAGCAGAGCTTCTTTTTGGACTTGATGCTGAACCGCTTGTTGTCCTTGTCGCCTGGCAAGCACGTTTGCGTTGAAGTTCTGAACCTATGTCCAAACAAAACCAAGCAACCAAGCAAAAATGCAAGCCGACCGAAAGGCCGAGTCTTAGAACAATGGGCAAAACTTGTACAGCTTCAGGGTTTGGAAGATTGTGGTCTAGGAGACTACGCGCCTTTGACGCCAGACTGCGCACGACACAGGTTTCCCAATTTGTCTCTCGAACGTGCAACCCTGGTAAGGTTAGCAGAGATCTCGATTTCTTCGCCAGCAAGACACCCTTGTCATTCTGGCATGCCATCTTCTTGCGCGCCATCTTCTCGACAATCATATTGACCTGCAGAAGCGGCGTGCAAGCTTCAAGGCGTCAAGTGTCGAGCGCCTGCTGTCGATCGGGATATACAAACGAGATCTATTTTACGTATAAGTAGGTTATAAATAGGCGAAGTCACGTGTAAGTCACTTATATCTCTAAGTAGTGGGGAGGACTTAATCTGAAGATCTAAGTTAGTTGCAATTTTTGTCCTTTGTAGTCACTTGGAACATATGTTATAGTTAGAATGAACTTGTGTTTTGATAGGTTTCGTACGTTTTCGCAAGACAATATGGCACTGAAAAATGATGTTTCCATGAGGTCTGGTGAGGAGATATCCTTGGATGCACTCCATTAAATTTGCTGCGGCGTTTGGCTTTTCTTGTTGCAGAAAGCATACGGGAAGTTCCTGTCCGCTTTGGTGTCATGGCTGCTCCACAAGGAGGAACCCCGACCGGCTCTTTGGTATCCGTATAGCGCACGTCCTGGCGCGTGCGCTTACGCAGCTCTTGGCCGAAAACTTATGAATCGGCATGCTTGACCATGTCCGCGGGACGCCAAGGGAAAACCACTGAAAATGGAGGGCGCGGCATGTCCGCGGGGGTCCGCGCGTATGTCCGCGCCACATGCCGCAATGTGCAGCCCTGCACGCGGGCTGCGTGTTTGGGCATGTCCGCGCAGGGTCCGCGGGCTCTGCCACCTAAACTTGGGAGGTTTGCTCCTTGTTACAGAGGAGTCTCGTTGCTTTCGAGTTAGCTCCTCTACCATTATGACTATTCCCTCCTGGTGGAGAACCGAAGATTCGAGTGTCACCCTTGGCATGCCGGGTTTTAAGGATGGGTTTAGGGTTCCGACTTCAAAGGTTGTTTAAGCTTGCACATGCCATCAGCAGCACTTCTACTCCAGTTCGTGAACGTAATTTTTGGAATATCCAGCTAGCTCGGCGCGAGTCCAAGACATGATACCGCGCTTTTCTATTCGAACTTATGATGAACATATAGGTCACTTAGAAATCACTTCTAAACCGCTTCGTTAAGTTCTGCGTAACTTGAATAGAGGTCACTTGCATCTGCCTAATACCAAAGGGCCCTCCTGGTACTTCAATGCACGTACTCATACTTAAAGAAAATCCTTTCGTGGGTTCGATGGAAGTTTGAAAGAAGCTGCTGTAGCCGGAATGTGCGAATCGCGGAAGCTCCAGCACAACAGGTAAAACCACTGATCGGGCTAAAGACCACGCGCGCACACACACACACACACACTTTCATCGGGAGAACATCTCCGCATTTCACTTCTAACTTTTCAAGGCCACTATAGGGCCCATGAATGCGACCAATTCACATGAAATGCATGCCGAGCTTCACCATACATAATTTGCAGACCAAGGCGCAAGCGATGTCGTTAAGGGAGGAAAACTTGTTCGGGCTTGCACAGCGAAGATGCTCTCATGACTAAACCATGCACAGCTTGTAGTATTGATGATGTCACAAACACTGTGTATTTTGAAAGGTACGTCAGGGTGATCAGCCCTGATATCCGCAGTTGCTATGGCCGCTTCGTTCGACCATCGCACATAGCAACTGGATTGTCCCCCTGCACCACCAAAATCGTTCGTCGCATGTCAAATTCCCAAATTTGCCCACCTTCCCAAATCGCTCCTATGCCCAGGGTTCCCTACTTAATACAAGTCACAAGTACAACTACGCTCTCTTCCAACGAATGGCAAGGACAGTATCATCCCACGAAGAGCAAGAACATGGGCCGCAGTCTCCAGTCGTAAACTGGTTGCGCGTACTCCAGTCGTAAACTGGTTGCGCGTACACACACACACACCCACGCACGCACGCACGCACGCACACGCACACGCACACACGCACACACGCACACACACACACACACACACACACACACACACACACACACACACACACACACACACACACACACACACACACCACACACACAACACAAACACACAACAGAACACACACACACACACACACAAACACCACACACCCACACAACACCCACACACCACACCCACCCACCACCCCCACCACCCACCACACACCCACACCCACACACACACACACACCACCCACACACACACACACACCCACACACACACACACACACACACACACACACCCACACACACACACACACACACACTGGTATGTGTGTGACTCTCGTGGAAAGGAATGTAGATGCGTAATGTCATACTTGATACGAGATGGTCTTGACATTCGAAATGCATACTGGTGCTAGACATTCTTTGTGGGCTCATTGACCTTGGGGTACCTTCGGGAAGTACAACAGCGAGTATGGCAGCAATGTACAGCGAGTGCGAAGATCAACATATCACTTCTTGTCACAGGTACACAGGGTTGATCAGACCCTGCTTCCAGCATCAGTGGATAGCTTCGTTGGGTGCAGTTTCCACTGTGCTCTGCACCCCCCTGTGATGCACTGAAGCTCTTCATGTATCATGTCAGAAATCAAGAAGCTTCAAGAAACTTCAATGCTCTCTCATCCTTCATGACTCAAGGAAACATGCAACTCTTGAAATGGCGAGACCATTCTGTTGTGGCCGCAGCAGTGCGGTTGTCACACACACACACACACACCCTCCCCTAAACGGAGAGGGTAATAGGATCGCGAGCTGAAGGACCTCAGTGCAATGAACTTGGTAGATTTGCTGGCAAAGGCAATGTGTTGTGGCTGAAACAAATACTGCAGAGAGCAAGCACACTCCATCATGTTTTCAGTCAATGCAAGAAAGTCAATCGATGTCAATACAGCCACCTGGATTCGCTTGTAGATGCCAGAGGCTATGATTTTTCGCCACACTTTCAGTGATGCGCACATTTGAGTCGTGCGTCCCTGTGGTGCTTGACCCGGGACGGGAAATGTCCAAAGAGAATTCCTGGTGGAGAAAAGATTCAAATTCACCATTCGCTCTGCGCACTTGTTCAGTCCATGGGGGTGCGGCATCTGTGCTTTCATGCTGAGGCCACACTGTTGATGTGACTGCAGACCAAGGAAGATGATGAGGAGGATTTGGTTCCTCAACATACAAGCCGAAGTCCTCGAGAACCTGTTCCTGCAAAAATTCCGTCAATCCGTCACACATGTTATCGAACGCTGCAGCATGTAAGGCCATGGCATGGACTTTACAAGTTCTTGGACCAAAATCTTGAGAAGACGAGAGCGAGACATTAACAACACGGGCAGTGAGTACCTAGTCACCTGGCAAAGTCGCGAAAAGCATCTTCTTTGTCGAGATAATGCACCGAATGCCTGGTTGAATTTGAAACCTGTCATGGTGAAACCATGCGCAGGAATTGCTTTAGGCAGTCTCATTCACGTAGAGGACGCGAGCAGTCGTTCTAGGACAGTGACCCTGTTGTTCAACGCCCGAATGTCTGCCTCCGTGCGCTCCATGTAGTCTGCTAGAGTGTGGCGGAAATTCTGCGAGAGCGTGATGTCCTCTCCTGACAATGATGAAGAAGAAGAAGGAGGAGTACTTGCCGATGAACTGCCTTGAAGAACCTCAAGCAGGGCTTCTATTACCTGCTGTCGACGAACTTCGCGTTGTTCGGGAGTCAAACCTTCCATGTTGTCGGCACACGTTGACCTAAGAGGTAACCTAGGACCTACTTTGACCTGAAGAGCACGATATGCATGTACGAGAGGAGAAGAATGCACATGCTGAAAAAAAGGAAAATGTCCATGACTAAACTGTCAAGCAAGCACTCGCAACTTTGAACATCGGTGGTTGTCTTGAGATGAGATCAAGGCACTCTGTGGAGGCTGCAAAGGTGACACAAAATATTTGACAAATCCATGGAGGAATAACCCTGTTGTTCGTACAGGGTTTGAAGAGAACGCAATTGCGACCTGATATGCAGCCGCGGGCGAACAAATCGGCAAATCAAGTATGCTTGAGACCTGAAACTACTGAGGAGATTGTTTTTCCCACAAACGGAATGAACTCCTCGTATCTGGCCTGGTCTGTTGGGAAGCTCCATCAACATAGCGCGTTGATCTGCGTCACAGTGGAAGCCCAGCACCTTTGTGTCAGAGACGTTCTCGAGCATCAATGGTGGTTCAAACCAATCCAGCCTTTGAAAATGTCGATATGCATCGGTGTCGAAGTCAGCTTTGATGCCCATAAGGATTCTGTTATCCACATATCTCAGGCAAAGAGGAAGGTCTGCACGCGTGGGGATACCTTGCGTTACTCGATTCCAACGATCCTCATGAACAACTGCAACAGCACTGCAGAGAGCCGGTGCTAGTTGAGAACCCATCGAGGCTCCCTGAACCTGTTGTACCACGGAGGAACCTACACAGAGTACAGCTGTCTTCAAAAGATAGTGTACAAGCATTGGAAGGTCCTTGAGCACAACTTGGTAATGTCGATGAGCATGTCGACGGAAGTGTCCTCGAAACACTCGGTTGATGCGATCTGCCTGTCGAATGGAAACCGAAAGTTCTTGATCAAGAGCAACATTCTCAGCTTCGCTGTACCGATAGACAAGGTATTCAATTGAGTCAAGAATGCGAGAATGAGGGACTGCACTATAGAACCCAGCAAGATCTTGTTGACGTAGTTCCATCTCCTCACGGAGTGTCGACCTCTGCAGCACCTGCCAAATCTGTCGGAGTACATACTGACAAGAGGGAAGGGAGTGAGTTCGTCCAAAGACTCTGCAGGTGAGCAACATTGTGGCTACAGCAACCACCGAAGAGAGTTTCGCATTCCAGGTGTGTGAATAAGCAACAATCGGTCTTGCTCCGCACCACTTCTTGGATTCTTTAGGTAACAGGTAGGCTTGAGGGAGGCGTTTGCGTCGGAGCACCAAGGTGTGATAGGAGCCAAGTTGAGCACGAGTCGCTGCTAAGACCTGGGACAGTGTACATGCTGCTGCTTGAGGTAGCGGTCGAAAGATCTTGCCTTCGAAGAACGTTTTGAGCAGTAAGTAGTGAAATTGCACTGGACACGCAAGGTGAAGTTCCGT